GTATTAATCGGACACAATTCCTAGGGCTCTTACGGGCACAGGGAGACCATGTGCGGTCTCTTTACCTGCACTCGATCCATAGTGAACATGATCTAAATCGTCGTCACTGTAATCATTACCATATTGGTCAGCTTCTCTGCATCTGATTGTGGTCAAAACATCCTCTGCTTTGGAACCCGGGGTGCTGCTAGGGCGACACCTCGTGCGTCTGCCATCTCCATCTCTGCAGATAACGGGGATGGGACCTGCGTTTCTTATTCCCTGTAGTGGCCCTTTTATTTCTCCTGTCTGCACATCGTGCTGAGAGAATAATGGAATAAACGGTCTGCATGTCGTGGTTAGAGAAAGAAGGCATAAGCGCTCACTGCCGGCACAGTTAGACTGTAGGCTGCCTTCAGTGGATGAGCAAGTTCAGCCGTTAGCAGCGTGGGCTCGTCCACCTTGTCGGGGGGATCAGTTCTTCCTTCCCTTTCATGGTTGAATAATATTCCGGTCTATGCATATATCACACTCCGTTTATTCATTTATCTGCCAGTAGACTTGTGGGTTGCATTTGTCTGGCCATTGTGACTAATGCCACCTGAACACTTGTATACATTGATTTGTCTGAGTCCCTGTTTTTGATTTATTTTGAGGCTGAACTGATTTGGGTGAATTGTTTATGCATCTATTTCAGTCCCTGAGATTGGAATTACTGGGTCATATGGTAATTCTAGTTTTAAGTTTTTGAGAAAGCAGACATCACCTCTTTAAATTGACTCTCTCCCCCAGTGGTTGAGAGGTAATGGGAAAGGAGGCAGGGCACCCCCAAGCCCTCGGGGTCTAGGGTGGATGAGAGTGCGGGCTGCTTCCCACAACAGGCAAAAGCCACCAGCCCTGCGCTGGCATCTGGCAGGTGCTTAGCAGGTGTCTGATAAATGGACGGGTGAATGGGTGGTGGATTGATGGCTGGGTGGGTGGATGGGAGGATGGACAGGTGAATGGATGGGTGGCTAGATGGAAGGATGGGTAGAAGGATGGATAGACAGTTGGAAGGATGGCTAGATCTAGATGGATAGGTGGATAGGTGGATGAATGGATAAGTATACAAGGAGTTTTGTATACAAGGAGTTTTGCCTGGAGGACTGCATAGGTACCTATCTAAACGCATAGGTAGACGGATGGATGGATGGATGGATGGATGGATGAGTAGATGGATGCATAGGCGAATGAATGGAAGGATGAGTGGATGGATGGATTGATGGATGGAAGGATGTATATGCAGATGGATGGATACATGGATGGATGAGTGAATGAGTGGACAGATGGATGGATGGAGGAGTGGATGGATAGAGGGTTTAATGGATGAATGGATGGATGGACAGGTGAATGGGTGGATGGATGGATGGATGGATGGATGGATGGATGAATGGATGGAAGGATTGGTAGGGGTGTAGATGGATAGGTAGATAGGTGGGTGAATGGATGGATGAATGAGTGGATGGATGGATGGATGGGTAGATGTATGGGTAGACGGTTGAGTGAATGGATGAATGGATGGATGGATGGGTGAATGGATGGAAGGATGAGTGGATGGGTGGATAGATGGATTGAAGAATGTATATGCAGATGGATGGATACATGGATGTATGAGTGAATGAGTGGACCGATGGATGGATGGAGGAGTGGATGGATAGAGGGTATAATGGATGGATGGATAGACAGGTGAATGGTGAATGGATGGAAGGATTGGTAGGTGTAGATGGATAGGTGGATAGATGGGTGAATGGATGGATGAATGAATAGATGGATGGATGGGTAGATGGATGAGTGAATGGATGAATGGATGTAAGGATGGATGGATGGATGGGTGGGTGAACAGATGGAAGGATTGGTAGGTGTAGATGGATAGGTGGATAGATGGGTGAATGGATAGATTAATGGATGGATGGATGGATGGGAGGATGGATGGATGGGAGGATGAATGGATGGATGGATGGATTGATGGATGGATGGATGGATGGGTGAATGGATGAATGGGTAGATGGGTAGTTGGATGGGAGAATGAATGGGTGTTGGAGGATGGATGGATGGGAGGATGGATGGATGGATGGATGGATGGATGGATGGACCAGCCTAGCTTACATGTCTTTTATGAAAGGCAGCTTCTAGGGAGGACGTTTGGCTCTGAGGATAGGCTCATGTCATGGCTTGGTCTGGACTTTGCTCTGCTTCAAGGCATGGGCTGGGTCTCCCAGGTCCCCATGTGAGTGCTCCATCAGCTGCTCTTTCATGAGCATCCGTTCTTTTCCAGGGTGACATCCAGCAGCTGCTCTTTGTCTCGGACCACCGGGCAGCTTACGATTACTGCGAGCACTACAGCCCTGACTGTGACACCGCGGTGCCGGACACCCCACAGTCGCAGGACCCCAATCCAGATGAATATGTGAGTAGACTCTGGCTTGCATCTTGGGGGTTGGCATGGGCAGACTACTTGGATGGTTGGTGAAGGACCACATGAGCCACGGGACCTTATTTTCAATAGATCCACTGCATGAAGATGCAGAGGGACTCAGGAGGTAAACGTGGGGATATCTGACTCACTTTTCTAAATAGCACCTTCCAGAATGATAGGGTCACGGAGGCTGTCATCAATAACCCTATCCTTTAACCTTTTGAACAAGCTTCTGGATGATGAATGCCCAGTGCTCTCTCAGCCTTGGGCTTGACCTTGATGGGTATTTGTGAGCACAGAGGCCACTGGTGTACCCATAGACTCGATCCACTGGAGGGACCATGTGCAGCTCGTCAAAGAGGATGGAACCTGGGCTTGTCTACTGTAGAATGGCCAACCTTCAGATCCCTTGAGTGTAGAGTGTCCTGTAGAGAGGCAGACACGTGCCTGACACCTTTGTCCCTCCTCCTGGGACCCGCCATGTCCATGGGCCAGCTTTCCTCCCCTCCCGCCCCACACCCTCCCAGCTCTCCAGTTTATCTTATTTGTAGTTCTTTCTGCCACTTCTGCATGAAAATCCTCTCCCACGCCCTGGTCCCATCGCCTCTCATTTCTCATCCGTAATGTTAAATCCCGCTGTTAATTTCGCTTTGGGTCTTCCTTCTTTCACCACCAGTCAGGAGAGAAGGAAGGGTGGCTTTCATGAAACTGTGGAACCCGTGCCCCAGGCCACATCTTATGAACCCCAAGTGTGGCTGGACAGAGCTCCCAGCCTACTCCCTGCTGCGCTGGCTTCCTGCCAGCTCCTCCCAGCTACTGGTTGGGGGAAATGGGCTCAGGATGACACCTGCTGTGTTGCAGTGAAGTCCCTCCCGTGGGGTTCCTGGGCTTTGAGGCTTAGGGCTGAAGGCTCGGGAGCCTGCTGGTGATGTGGCTGCAGCTGCCCAGCCTGCCATTCTGTTGGTTGTTCTGGCCTGGCTTCCAAAGGGCCAGAGGTCTCACCTTTGAAGATTCATTTCTCTGACTTCTGCTCAAGGGGGCTGGAAGACCCCCCACTTTCTCCCTTGGGCTTCCGGTGAGGCTGCGTCACCTTCCCAAGGAGCTGGAGAGGGAGGACCCCCATCTGGGGACCCACAGAGAGATTCATGTGTGGGGCTGGGCAGGGCGCTGTGGCGTGCAATCTTCCAGCCGAATCTGGAGGTCGGTCTATCTGCGGGCTCCAATGCCTCCTCACGGGGCTGCAATTCGCTTTCAGTACACGGAAGGAGACGGTGAGGGGGAGACCTATTACTACGAATACCCCTACTACGAAGACCCCGAAGACCTAGGGAAGGAGCCCCCCCCCCAGCAAGAAGCCCGTGGAAGCTGCCAGAGAGACCACAGAGGTCCCCGAGGTCTGGGCTGAGCGGGGGCCTGGGTTGGGCTGGGTCCCTGGAGGCTGTGGTGCAGGGAGGGTGAGGCTGGGAGAGGGTGTCAGGGTGGAGGCTCGCGGGTTGTCTGGCAAAGCCCACAGGGGCAGCTCAGCAGGGGAGCAGGCCATCGTGGGCTGTCCAAGCTTTGCCATCACGGGGAGTATTGGGCATTCCGCCATGAGGAGGATGTTGGGAGATGCAAGGTGTACAGGGGAGCGTCTCTGGGCCCCGGTCCCGGTCCCCACCCTATACCAGGTGCAGGTTGGGCTTGGTTCTCGGGTTCCTCTGTGTAGGCGCAGCTGTGGTGGGAGAATGGAGCTCAGGACCCCACTCCCCAGGTGGGGGTGATGCAGTCTGAGGTTGGCCTCGGGTCCTCCCCTCTGTGGGTTGCCTCCCCTTCACCTCTGAAACTGGGGAGGGCTTCGAGGGTGTGTGAGCAGCAGTGAGAGACGAGGGTTGCGCCTAGCAGGGCCGGGCCCTGTGCGGGAGCGCGGATGGGTGGGTGCCCTGCTGGGAAGGGAGGCTGTCCAACTGGGGGACATCGTCAGCATGAAAAGGGTGGGGCGTGAGCATGGGCCAGTGTGTGTGAGCGTGTGGCAGGCAGGCACAGGTGTGCACGAATGAGTGTGTGAGAGCGTGTGGCAGGCAGGCACAGGTGTGCATGGGCCAGTGTGTGTGAGTGTGTGGCAGGCAGGCACAGGCGTGCACGAACCAACGTGTGTGAGCGTGTGGCAGGCAGGCACAGGCGGCATGAACGTGCATGTGTGAGCGTGTGTGTATTCCGGGGAAAGGTGACCTGGTTATCCCACATTGCTCTGAGAGCCTAGAATGTTGCTACTTTTTTTTTTTTTTTTGGAATGGAGTTTTGCTCTTGTCGCCCAGGCTAGAGTGCAGTGGTGTGATCTTGGCTCACCACAACCTCCGCCTCTCGAGTTCAAGCGATTCTCCTGCCTCAGCCTCCCGAGTAGCTGGGATTACAGGCGTGTGCCACCACTCACAGCTAATTTTGTATTTTTAGTAGAGAGAGGGTTTCTCCATGTTGATCAGGTTGGTCTCAAACCCCTGCCCTCAGGTGACCTGCTGGTCTCAGCCTCCCAAAGTGTGGGGATTACAGGCTGAGCCACCGCACCTGGCCTGCTGCTTTTTAAATCTTGAGATATGATTGGCCCTTTTCTGGTGCGTAACTGGGTAGGCTGGAGTCCATTCTGAGCACCCTGAGTGACCTGGGGCTCCCAGCTGGGCCGCCGCCTTCCGCGTGCTCTGCCCCCGGCCCCCATGGCACCGAGTCTCTGGGCCTCTTGACAGGCGGGGGATCCAGGCTTTGCCACTGAGATGCCCGCACGCGGAGATGCGGCAAGCCCAGACCTCACTCCGCCCCGCCTCCGTCCTGACTCCAGCTCTCTCTGCCCTTGGCTCCCAGGAGCTGACCCCGACCCCCACAGAAGCTGCTCCCCTGCCTGAAACCAGTGAAGGGGCTGGGAAGGAAGAGGACCCCGGCATTGGGGACTATGACTACGTGCCCAGCGAGGACTACTACACGCCCTCGCCTTACGACGACCTCACCTACGGCGAGGGCGAGAACCCTGACCAGCCCACAGACCCGGGTGCCGGGGCCGAGATTCCCACCAGCACCACCGACACCTCCAACTCCTCCAACGTAATTTTTTTCCTTCTCGTTGGTTTGGTCTGGGGCGAGGGGAAGGGCCAGGGTGGGGCCACAGTGCTGAGGCCCCTCCTTTCTCCAGTTCTCACCTTGGAGTCCTCGGGTGGACCCTGTGTTCCTGCCACACCCTGGCCCAGGCCCTTTGCAGCCAGACTGTGGGAGGCTCCCGGGAGGGCCATTGCTGAAAGAGTTTGGAATCACTGACTTGCTGAGTTGATCTCAGTGTGGTCAGTTTTTTCCTGGAAAGTGGGTAGAATGACCCCAGTCCTTCCGGTCTTTGGGGGTTCAGGTGGAGATGGGATGAGGGGGGTTGCTGGTGGGCAGAGTCCCTGCCTGTGACCCGGGGTGGCCAGGCTGGACGGGGCTGGGAGCCAGGATCCACACAAATGCAGCAAAGCCCGAGCTGGGCGGGCAGCTATGGCTGGAAAGTCAGCCGGCGTCTGTGGACCTCAGGGTTCTCCTTTCCAACATGGCACTAACAGTGCTTGTCTCTGGGTGCTGTGGACTTTGCAGATTAGGGAAGAGTCTTGCCCAGCACGTGGCACATGGCACATGCTTAGCACGGCCATTGTGTAGTGCAGAGTCTTCACTGCCAGAGAGGTCAGCCCGTTCCACAGACCCTGCACCTGCAGCACCACACCGGGGGCGCATGTCTCAAGACTCTGGGGTTGTGGGGTGGAGCCCCTGCCTAAGCAGGTATCTGGGTGCACAGCTGTCCCTGGGTGCACGAATATGCCAGCTCTGTGGGGTGCCGCCATGCCAGGGCAGTCTGGGGTGATGATTCTTCGTTGTGGGAGGGAGAAGATGCAGAAGGAGGCTGCCAGGGGCCGCAGGACCTCTCCCTGCGGGCTGGACTCCAGGTGTGTGTGGCTTAGGAGGCCTCTGGTCTTGAAGTCCTGGAGTGGTCAGACCTGGAGCCCTCAGAGGGGGTCTCTCCTCAGACGGGGTGTCTCTGCCCAGTTGACTGGGTAGCCACGGTGCCAGCACAGGGCCTGATGGATCTGGGGTCTCTGCCCAGTTGACCGGGTAGGGGCAGTGCCAGCACACGGCCTGATGGATCTGGGGTCTCTGCCCAGTTGACCGGGTAGGGGCAGTGCCAGCACAGGGCCTGATGGAGAGGCAGTGCCTGGTGCGTTTGCGAGGCGACCCTGCACCTTCCTCTCCCTCTGCAGCCAGCTCCGCCTCTGGGAGAAGGTGCAGATGACTTGGAGGGGGAGTTCACCGAGGAAACGATCAGGAACCTTGATGAAAACTACTACGACCCCTACTATGACCCCACCAACTCCCCGTCGGAGATCGGGCCGGGAATGCCGGCGAACCAGGATACCATCTATGAAGGGGTGAGAGGCTGCAGGCCCCGCTCCTGGTGGGGCTGGGGGCTGGCAGGGCACCATGGGGGCTCCTCAGGGATGGGCGCCATAGGCAGTACAAGTGTTGCACGCTGTTCCCAAAACGTTATTTTTAAAGAGACCTCAGTGCCTCAGACTTGCTCTGGATAATGTGCGTCGCGGCGTGACCGCCTCTGGGCCCGTTCCTTCGTTAGCGGTTGCGTGGCTGTGTGGAGCCAGCCTCCGTCGTGCTCCTGGCACCCTCCTGGGCCTGGGAAGATGCCCGGCTGTGATAGTGCCCTCGCCTTGTGCAACTGGCCAGATTTTGTGTAATCTGACTTGCTCTTTCACTTTTCCCTCTGATTCTTTCTCCACCTGCCTTTTATCACCCCCAGATTGGAGGACCTCGGGGCGAGAAAGGCCAAAAGGGAGAACCAGCCATCATTGAGCCGGTAAGGACGTTTCTTACTCTCTTCCTGAAGCTGGGGAGTCTGCTGCTTGGGAGCACGGGGGGCGTGTAAGGTGTGACCAGGTCCCTGGGCCCCACTGCACCTGCACACACGGGGTCATTTCCAGGAACCACCTGGTCTCGTGGAGTCCATGCACCACTCATCACCAGGACGAGGCCCTTTGGGTGGGGATGTTCTAGACTGTGATGGGGGAGTGGGATGGGAGGGGGCCGGATAAGTGGGGGTGGGGTAGGCACAGATCAAAGCTCGTCCTGTACCCAAGCGCTGAGCATCTCGGCACATTTCCATTTTACCTGGGGTGAAAAGCGGCTCAGAGCTGGTGACGCAGAGGTGGAGTCCCCTTTGAGGGGTGCAGGAGAGGACGTAAGCGGCCGGTTGCCTGTAAAAGCCGTAGGGCAGTGGCAGGGAATAGTTAACAAGTGGCTGTACCTCTCCACGCCTGTTACACAACTGTTTGGAGTAAGTTTGCTGAAACTGTTGAAACGTGGAATGCCTTTTATGAAACTTTGTCAAGGGAATTAAATCAAACAGCACTGTGCTGAAATTCCAGCCGAGTGAAACCCAGCTATGTTAGGTGACGAGACCATGGGTGAGCTCAGGAAGTTCCTGTTGACAGTGCCCTTGAGTGTGGGACGCAGCGGAGGCTGAGAGACGCCCCTTCTGGGTAGGCAGGTTTGGTGGGGGCCTGCCCCCTGGGGTGTCCTTGCCCTTGTCCCTCAGGGGCCCATGGCCTGGGTGGGGCCCTGTATTTCTCCCGGGGGCCTCAGAACCGCTAAGGTCAAGGTCTTGACACCCCAGCCCCCAGCGGGCGAGATGCCCCGTGATCGGCTGGGCCGGGAGCCCTGTGCCTGCATGTGGTGGGAAGCAGCTCCAGACCCGAGAGCAGGCAGGAGCCAGCACCAAGCCCACCGCGCCACGCTGTCCGAGTGCCCACGGGAGGAGGTGCGTGTCCTGCACCACGGCCGGCGCCGCGGCTTGGCTGGCTGTTTCTGCCAGCGCCAGGACTCCGTTCCTGAGGGCTGAGCTCAGGGTACACCTCGGGCTCCCAGAAGCCCCTTGACCTGCGGCTCCTGGAATGTGGAGTCATGGTGACCCGCCACCCTCCTGTAGAGCTGGGGACATTCTCTTGGAACCTTGACGGATGGCAGGTAGCAGGCCTTCGTCTTCCTGGAGTCTGTTTGAAGCTGGTGACCAGGACAGATGGGGTGCATCCCGTCTCTGGGGTGGAATTCCCAGGGCCTTACCCCTTCCTGGCCTGTGAAAGCCTCTGGATGGCTCTTGTGGTGCTCCATGGCCCAGCCCAGGGGTGGGACCTGCCAGTGCCCACAGACGCATCCATTTTTCAGACCAGAGCCCCTTTCCAGGGCCCTCTGGGGGTCCAGGAAGGACAGAGCTCATCTGAGGCAGAAGGGTCATGGGATGCAGGACAAGGGGGTGCAGAGGCGTGAAGGGAGACTGAGGCCAGGGGCCCCTGCTCAGCAACATGGAAAACCTCAAGCCAGGCCTGAGGCTCCTCAGGGAGCAGAGCAGCTGCAGGGGAGAGTGGCAGCCGTCCGCCTGGGCAGACTCACCCAGAAGAAGGGGGCTGCGGGCCTGTTCTGCTGGGCCCGAGGGTGTTTGCCAGAAGGTGAACAGCAGCAGAGGCTTCGTCCCAGGCCCAGACCGAGCACACTTGCTGCCGGGAGGTGGAAAGTCCTGCAGCGTTTCCCAGGACAGTCTTGGCCCCCAGGTGGACTTGAGCTTGGCCTTGGGCTTCTTTTGGGGGGTCCCTGTTGCTTCAGTGAAAGGGGCTTCTTGCTCAGGGAGGAAGATGGGATCTCAGGAACGGGCAGGTGCCCTGGCCCTGCGGGGCCCCAGCTTGGTTTCCCCGCCCTGCTCTGGGAGGGCTGGGCCGAAACCTTTGCATGAGCTTCATGTTGGCTCCCGTTCCCCAGTGAGCTGGCCCTGTGAGTGTAGACGCGGTGTCCGGGCTCCAGGAGGCGGGTGGGAGTGTGGGGTGGGCACAGGTGTTCACTGCCAGGCCCCTGGGAAGCCAGCAGTGGGCAAGGGTGGGGTCAGGAGAGGGCTGAGAGTCCAGGCGGCCCAGCAGGAGCATCGAGGCTCTGGGAAGTCCAGTTCTTCTTTGCTGGGAAAAGCAGCAGCTGCCTGGATTCACTTAGGAAGGGTGCCCTCCCCTGGGCCCCAGCCTGGTCCTAGTGTCCAGGAGCTTCAGCCAGGCCCCCTGCAGAGATCACAAACACTCGGAATTTCTCAACCTGGAGCGTCGCCAGATGTCCTCGGGTCTAAGCGGCACATAAACAGACGGCCGGGTCCTGGGGCCCTGCGGGCATCCCGGCCGTGGAGGAGCGTGTGTATTCTCCCCTCCCCTGTACCTACACACACTGGGAGTTGCCTCTGTTCTGGGGGCGTGCCCAGCCATTTCCCCCTCAGTCCTGCTCCCTCTCATTGTCAACCAGACCCAGACCGAAGGCTCCCTAAAAGGACAGGAATCCACGGAGCTGAGAGGAGACAGGTTCATTCTTATCCAGGTGCTTCCAGCCAGGAAACCCCCAGATTCAGGGGCTGATTTTACCTGGGCCGTGCCCGTTAGGGGCATGGAAGTTACTGTCCCCACTTGACGCTGTGTTTTGTTTTTAAGTATGTGCCATTTACCAGATGGATGGGCCTCCACTGAGATTGCCTTGAGTTCTGCCAGGGCTGAGATCTCGTATTTCCTTTGTTAAAATGATCTGCATTCACCGGGCTTGGTGCTCACCCCTGTCATCCCAGCCCTTGGGGAGGCTGAGGCAGGTGGATTACCTGAGGTCAGGAGTTCGAGACCAGCCTGACCAACATGGCGAAACCCTGTCTCCTAAAAATACAAAAAATTAGCCAGGTATGATGGTGGGTTCCTGTAATCCCATTACTCGGGAGGCTGAGGCAGGAGAATCGCTTGAACCCAGGAGGTGGAGGTTGCAGTGAGCCAAGATCACGCCACTGCACTCCAGCCTGGGCGACAGAGTGAGACTCCATCTAAAAAAAAAAAAAATGTGTGCAATGAAGGGGTGCGGCTTGTTTGATGGGCTTATCCAGGCACAGACAGACACAGTGAAGCGAGCCTGAGTTCCGCAGAGCAACGCACTCACCACCGCCGCCCCGCAGCTGCCCGTGTCTTCTTTGTGCCCGAATCTGCTGTCTCTGCAAGTTAATCTGCAGTGCCATCTCGTTAACGATGTTGAGACATTTTCCTCTTATTCCTCTTTCCCCTGGTGAATTTTGAGAGTGGTGTCTGTGGTTGGGTGGGCTGGGGCCAGAGTGGGGCCACAGCTTGCCTGGGAAGGTCAGGCCTCCCCTCCCCAGGCGTGCTCACCCAGCCACTCCCAGGTTCCTTACACGCCAACCTGGGATGACCCGGGCTTGGCTGCCCTGTGAGGTCCCCGCCCGCACTGCCCCAGTTCCCTGAGAAGAGCAATTTGTGCGTCTGGGAAGGCAGGTGCTGCCCTGGCCCCTTAATGGGCAGCGGTTCTCCCTTAATCCCAGCTCAGCCCTGGGCTTTTCAGCTGCCTTTGTCGAGAAGGAAATTGGAAAGCTGGCATCCTGGAGCTGCTTGGATGAGCTCTCTGTGCAGCACACACACGGAGTCTCTCTGAGCGTGCATCTGTGTAAACACAGCGCAGAGCCTCCCCCTCCCGGGGCACGATGGGAGGGGTGGGGAGATCAGCAGCCCCCCAACCGGGAGTCCCCTTGCCAGCCTGGTACCCAGCACCTCTGGGGATGGCCCCGGTGGCCTGTGGCCTGGCTGGACAAATCCTTTGACTTGTCAGAAGTCAGTCGCCTTAGTCCGTTTTGTATTGCTGTCACAGAACACCACAGACGGGGTGATTTAGAATGAGCAGGAAGTCACCGGCTCACGGTTCTGGAGGTGGGGAGTCACATGCAGAGGGGCCACAGTGCTGCCTCCTCCTGCGGCAGAAGGCACTGCCTGGTGAGAGGGACAGAAGGTGACTGCTGGTGCCCTGTCCTCAGGAGCCCACTCCCACCCTAACCACCCCACTGCACCCATCCAGGGGGGCAGTGCCTGGTGACCTCATCTCCTCCTGAAGATCCCAGCTCTTCACACTGTGGCATTGAGGATTCAGTTTCCAACACATGACTTTTGGGGAGACACATTCAAATCCTAGCATTCTGCCCCGGCCCCCAAATTCATGTCCTCACATGCAGCTTACATTCGCTCCCTCTGGGAGCTGCGGCCTCTTCCCTTGTTCCAGCATCAACTCCAGAGTCCAGAGTCTCACCTGAATCAGATACGGATGAGACTCCGCTTCAGTTCTCTGTCTTGAAGCAAAGCCCTGTCCAGCTGCGAGCCTGTGGAATGAAACAAGCTTCACGCTTCCAAACCACATGGCGGGGACGGGCACGGGATAGACATTCCCGTTCCAAAAGGGAGGCGTGAAGAAAGGGGTAGCAGCCCCAAGGAAGCTCAGAACCCAACAGGACGAGCAGCCGTATATCCCACGACTCTAGAGCAGTCTTTCACTGAGTGTGCCACTTCCTGGGCACGCTGGGTGCGGGTGCCCCGGCCTCAGTCAGCACTGCCCATTCAGCTTTGCATAGGACGACTCATGAGTTGGAACCTCGTCCTTGCTGCCCTCCCAGGCTGGGGCTGAAGGCTGGTGGTGCCGCAGTCCTGGGTCTCAGCGGTGGCCCCACTTCATAGCCCCACCAGGCGTCATCCTAGGGAACTCTGCAGAGCCTCCACCCCTGTGGCGGGTGTCTGCGCGGGACCCCAGCTGTCCACGCGGGACCCCAGCTGTCCACGCCATCCTCTGACCTCTAGGTGGTGGGTGCCCTGCCTTCCTTCCCTGCAGCTGCAGAATAATCAGACCCCATGGGCGCCGCCGAGGCCACACCCTCACCCTGTAGAGCTGAGCCTGGGCCTGCTGGAGCCATGCCGGGCAGCTGAGGGCTGCTGTGTCTCCATGTGGGGGCAGACACATGGAGGGGTGCAGGGCAGGCGATGCTGAGTTCCTGGGGACCGCCTTGCGAACGTGGCCATCGAGGCCCTAGCGTGCATCACAGCTCTCTGGCTGCCTCGGGGTCTTTTTCTGCTGCCTGGTTGAGTGGTGCCTGGCTCCCACCTGTCACAGGAACTCCCTCTGAGGAGTAGTGCCCCTGAAGTCGGCATGAAACAGAGGACATTTAGGGCATTGGGGGCGACTGACCCTGGCATTGCCAGGTCAGAAGTGGAGAGAGGAATCCCGCCCTGGGGAAGGAGTTGGAAGTGGGGGTCTCAGGGCGGGGAGCCCCGTCCTACAGGGAGCGGCACCCATGCTCCCTCTGCTGCCCTCACGGCTGTCCACGTTGCTTTCCTGGGGCTCAGGCTGACCCAGGCACCAGGAGGCCTGTCCCCACTGGGGTTAGAGTGAGGCCTGGGTATGCTTGAGGCAGGCAGGCCCTGTGGGGAGGTGAGGGCTGGGGGAGGAGGGCTGAGTGGGCAGGTGGACTTGGCAGGGTTTCCCATGGGTGTGCTGTGTGGCTGCTGTGTGTGTCGGGGACACGCTTCCTCCCTGGAGGGAGGCGGGGTCTGGAGGCTGCAGCACTGGGGCCTGATGGTGGCCCTGGCTGGGGGCAGAAGTCCAGCCTGGGGCCTGTTGGACCTACTTTTCCCTCACCCTTCCTAAACCCACCTGAGGCCCCTCGTCCCGACATCTGCTTCCTCCCTTGAGCGGCTGTGGCCTGGCGGGCCTGCCTGGCGCACCCCTTCGGCAACTCAGGGAGCCTGGGGGCCTCTGCTCCTTTTCCTCCCCTCTGCGTCTTCAGGTGCCGCTTGTGGCTTGGTCTTGGGGGAGCCTGTCTGAGGGCCAGGGCTGCTCTTCTCCTGGGAGTGCTGGGAGTGCTGGGAGTGCAGGCACCGAGGCACTGCCCAGGCCCCCCTTGCAGTCTGCTCTGGAGACCCCTCCAGCACCGCAGCTACTGGGTCAGGGCCTCTGTGCACATGGCTGAAGCCGTCCACCCCACTGGGGTCTGGGCCTCGGGTGTCAGGAGGGAAGGGCCTCGGTGTCAGATGCCCCTCCCTGTCCTGTCGGGAGGGTCCCGTGGTCTCAGACGCCTCTCTCTGTCTCCACAGGGCATGCTGATCGAGGGTCCGCCCGGCCCGGAAGGCCCCGCGGTGAGTGTCAGCTTTGACCCTGTGACTTGCCGTAGGTGCTCTGCGTGGGGTGGGGTTGGTGACACCCTTCAGTCTCCTGGATGGAAAAGAGGGGGGCTCATCACTTTTGCAGACAGCCTGGGAGCCGGCGCTCTCCCTCCCTACCCCTGCCTTGGTTGGCCAGGTAGAAATCGGGCCTTGCCCTGTGGCCCCATCTTTTAACTTTGTCCCAACTTCATTTTTCATTCTAGGGTCTTCCCGGACCACCAGGAACCATGGGTCCCACTGGCCAAGTCGGGGACCCTGGAGAAAGGGTAAGAGGTTGACCATGTTTCCTGAGATCACACGGGTTGTGGGGCTGCCCGTGCCTCCTCCCCACACTGTGACCCGAGCTGTCCCTGCCTGTGGAGAGGACAGCTGGCACAGAGACGTTTGTCTTCAAGTCGCCCCTCCCCCAGGCGCCCCTCCCCCAGGTGCCCCTCACACCAGCCCTGTTCATACTGTGGATGTGGGAAGAGGGGGCCCCTGGGGCGCAGGGAGCCTGCCAGTGCTCAGCCCAGTCCGTGGCCCCGGGACCCTGCGTTTGTCCAGCAATCAGCAGCAGCCGCAACCACAGTGGTGGCCCCCGGGCCTTCCCTGCTTGCTCCTCGCCCCGGTGGCCACGCCACGTGGCATCCGCCCTCCTTGCTCAGTTGGGAACTTCCTCGGTCCTGGGAGGCTCAGGGGCGTCGTCAGGTGACCCTCGCAGAGGGAGGGGGTGGAGGGACCGCCGCTCCCGGCCGCCGCGATTTCCTCCTGACACCTGGTGGGCGCTCCGAGTACTGCGGCCTCCTGGTCCCTGGCAGGGCGGGAGTTTCCTCTTCCTGCTGCTGGAATGAATGTGGATTTGAGGGCGGAAGGACTGATTCCTGGACGGCTGGGCTGTGGGTGGCAGAAGCAAGGGGTGCGTGTGGGCGTTCACGCTGTGATACCAGGGCCTGCCTGCTGCCCAGGGCAGAGCGAGGACCCTGTGGGTGTTGGGGTGGGTGGATGCAGGCCCGGCCTGGTTGTGTGGGAAGGTAGTTCGCAAAGTCAGCGCAGGGTTGGGGTGCTTCCGAGGCTGCTGCACCGGAGGTCTTGGGGGAGTGTCCTGTGCAGTGCGGGGGCTTTGCAGCAGTGCTTCGAAAGGTGGGGTGGGGCGGGGACCGGGAGAGTAAGTTCTGGCCTTGGACTTGGAGGTTCTTACTGGCACTCAGCACCCCTGGAAAGCTGGGGAGGTGCAGGACAGGTGAGGTCCAGACAGGTGAGGTTGGGACAGGTGAGGTCAGGACAGATGAGGTCGGGACAGGTGAGGTCGGGACAGATGAGGTCGGGACAGGTGAGGTCAGGACAGGTGAGGTCAGGCAGCAGGACGCAGGGGCAGGTGGCGGCAGCCTTCATAGGGGCCAGAGCCGAGTCGGTAGGGATGCTTGCTTAGGGAGGAGGCAGATGGGAGTGCTGAGGCCAGTCTTTGGAGGGAAGGATTCAGGTTAGCAATGCGGGAGGTGGTTGTTAGCGTCTGTGTGGCCGGGTGACCTCTGAGGTCAGCCTGTGTCAGATGGAACCGCACAGTAAGATTCTCCGTTATGTTTCTTTGCACCATCGGGGATTTGGGGTCCCAGAAGAGGCAGGTCTTGCCCCATGGCAAGGGTCGTGGCAGGAAGCGGGGCGGGGTGGGTCCTTGGCTGGCCTCTGGAGCACGAAAGTCTCACAGCACCCTGGCTTGGCAGCCGCATCTCCAAAACTCCAGGCAGGCAAGAGTGAGCGGCCACTGCCCTTGCCCAACCCGGATTGGCACCGCTGCAGATCTGCATTGGGGGCTGCAGATGCCCAGCTAGCTCTGGATACCCCTTCCCACAGGTCCGTGTGAGATGGGGCGGCAGCCATGCTCCTCCTCTGCAGAGACACCTGTGGATGGGCCCATGGGTGTGGTCAGGTTCCTGTGCAAAGGAGTGCATTGCATGGCCCTGGGAGCTGTTTTCTGTCCCAGATGTAGGACAGGGTGGTATCCGCAGGGCACAGATGCCAGCTGACACACAGGGGCACCCAGATGCCGACTGACGCTGCCTCAGTTGTGCTCCAAGCGTGCCTCCTCCTTCTGTCCATCCAGCATACAGATTTGTACGGAGTGCCCGCGGTGCTGGGCACTGGTCTAGCCTAGTGATCTCAATGGTGTGGACCCGAGGGGTGCTGGTTGGTACCTGTCCCACGTGGTCCCTGCCTTTGGGCTGATTCTGGCTTGGGGTCATTGGCGGGTGGCCCTACAGTGCCTTGTGACACCGTGAGCAACCCAGCTGCTGAGGAGGACCCCAGGGCCCTGACAGGAGAATATCATTGGCTCAGGAGCTGGTTCCCCTCAAGCTCACATCAGCGTCTGGGAGCATGAGGACTGAGTTGGGGTTGGGAGAGAAACCAACTCCTAGGGGCCGCCGTCCCTGGAGCCGGAAGAGAGACCTGCAGCCCACCAGCCTCCCCAGGGCCCTTCCGGTGGGGAGGGGTGCCGGTTCTGGGAGCTGCGAGCTGCTCACCCCTCCGGTTGTAGCTCCAGCCAGCCTTGTTCAGGATGCCATCCCTGCTTGAAGCTCAGTGTCCTCTGGATGTCCAGATCTTGCCTGTTGGCTGCTAACCAGCTGTGAGGGATCACGGGGTGTGGGCTGGAACCCGCAGTGCTGCCTGCGGTGGACTGGCCGCAGGTTCCTGGGCATTCCTGGGCAGTGGAGGAAGAACGCCTTGCCTTTGGAGGTTGAGCGTCTGGGGCCTACAGCGTGAACGGACAAGAGACAGATCGACAGGAGAAGAGGGGCACGATTTCAATATTTTTAGTCTTCTAGGCGCGGGGGCTTCACAGATAAGAATAAAAACCAGCAAATGTGCTTAGGCTCGGGAGCGTGCATACCGTCTAACCAGAGGAGCAGGCTGTGGGGCAGTGGCTAGACCAGGGAAAAGGGGGTTTGGACGTCGAGGGGTGGCACGTGGTGGGCACATGACTGGGAACTCCGTGGGGGAGGAATGGGAGACGGAGGTCATCTTGGCAAAGCCTGTGGATGCAGATTCATCAGGGGCTGGCCCCTATCTCAGGCGATAAGGGGCACTCTCCAATCCTGATACAGGAGCAGAGGCGGGGAGGGTGGGGTGGGAGGATGGGGGTGATGCCTTGATTTGAGGCAGAAAGGGGGAGGTAAGAGCTCTCTTCCTGCATCCGTTGCTTCTTATTTGGCTTCAGCAGAAAATAATCCTTCTGCGGGGAGCGGCAGGCTCCATTCCGTCCGCCCGCTTGGCCTCCTGAGCCTGTCTGTCTGGGAGGGCTTTTTCCTGTGCTCTGCAAGAGCCCTCTTCTCCCTGCCACCCCAGACCCCCCACCCCGGAGACTCCCCAGCCCTTCCTCCCTTCCCCAAGGGCCGTCTGGCCGTGACTGATGTGAGCCTTTTCTTCCTCACTGAATGGTGAGTTCCTCAAGACAGGCCCCACTTCTGTGCCCTTCCTCACACCCCGCTCCCTGCGGGCAGCCATGGGCAGCTGTGGCAGTTGCCTGGGAGCCATCTCTGCACCTGTGCCCGGCACCCCACTGGGCATTGGTCAGCCCTGACCGGCCGCCGAAGCTGGCACCCTGTGCCTCCGCCGACTAGCCCTGGGGTCACTTCCTGCACTCCCTGCTGGGTCCTACACACTCTCCAGCTGCATGCCCTGGGCAACCTCCGTGCTGCATCTGTATTTTGGCATCTCAAATCCTTTCTTGCTGTTGTGTCCATGGCTGCCCGCAGGGAGCAGGTGCAGGGAGAGGTACAGAAGCGGGGCCTGCCTTGAGGAACTCGCCGTCCAGTGAGGAAAAGGCACAGTCCAGTCATGGTCACACGGCAAGAATTCATTAGTAAGGCATCAGGGGAAGAGCTGGGAACCCCGAGATGGGAGGTCTGGAGCGGCTGTGTCTGGGTGGAGAAGCGGCCCGAGCCATCACCCTGTCCAGTTTCCTATAGGTGACTGGTGGGCAGGTGCACAGCTGGGGAAATGTGCTGAAGCCCCGCAGGGAGGTCAGGTAGAATTGGGGTTGAACCCACATCTCCTCTGGTGGAAGGAGGGTGGCCACTCTTGCTCAGAGGTTCAGAAGACACCCGAGAGGGTGAGCTGGGATCCCCAAGGGAGCTGCAGGCCAGGGGGCCTGGGTTTCTTGTGGGGGTGGCTTCCATGCCCCCTGCCAGTGCGTTTCTGCAGGGGCTGACTTTGGTGTGGCTGGGAGTATAGTCAGGCATCAGTGGGTCTGAAATCCTGAGGCTATGCATGTGTGAAGGCTCCCTGTGATCCCGTGGTGGCAGTGCCGTGCCCCGGGACACTGAGTGGTTTTTCTCAGTGAAGCCCCACCCTGGGCACCACGGGCAGGCGGGGGAAGGAGACCGATGGGGGCTGTCATTGAAGATGATGCCGGAGTGAGTCCCGCCCGCCCTGGACTGCCAGGCTCACACCTGCTAGCCTCGATAGGAGCACTGGAAGGCAGGGGCCACCTCTGTGCTGCTTGCCAGCACCCCACATCCGTTTGCGTGTGTGCTCCAGAGCTGGTGCCCACCAATGTTTGTGCCCAAGAAGTGTTCCGTGTGATGAGAGCGTCTTTGAGGTGAGTCCCTTCCTTCCCCTCCCCATGCGCCTCTTCGAAAGCCTGGCATCCCAGGCGCGCCTGCGTTTCAAGGCAGTTCCTGACTGCAGCCCAGCGTTGCTGTGGATTTGATGGCATCTTCCAGGAAGCTGTGGCCAAACTCCTCCTGAGCCTCCACAGTCCCCTAGAGAGTTTAGCGTTTTCATCTAGAAAGAGCCTTGCTTGCTGTCTAATTGACTCCCTGGGAGCTCCAGCTGCTGTTGGCCAGCTGCTGATCTATTGCTCCTAAGATAGACTTCACACAGATTTTCCCATCTGCAGCATGTGTATTATTTTTGGGTAAAGTAATGATCTGCTTTCTGGGTCTGTAAGCCTGTCCCACCCTCCGGGAGGCCTGGATCTTCCTCTGGGAAGCCTCGGAGATTCAGTATGCAGGTTTCCGTCTCGGCTGCCTCAGGGTCAGGTGGAGGCCAGGTTCTCAAGAGTTCCCAGCGTGCCACACAGGGGTACCTGCTTCCTGCAGAATCAGATGCATTTGATGCCTTGGGAGAAGCCCCACAGCCTTCAGTGGCCCCATTATGTGCAGAAGCAGCCTGGCACTAATCACGCTGCCCGGCGCCGTCTGGCCAGCCCCTCCTGTCACCCAGCTGGGGCTCAAACCATCTCCCCCTCTTTTCTATGTGTCCAGGATTAACCTTCCCCGTGGGTTTT